CAGCAAAAGAAAAGGGAGAGAGAAAAACCTTGAGAACTTGAAGAATGAAGAAAGGCAGCCAGGGATTCAGCTCAGCAGCATAAGCACCTGCCTGGCAAGTACAAGGTTGTGAGTTTGATTCCTGAGGAGGAGGAGGAGGAGGGGAAGGAGGAGGAGGAAGAGGAAAAGAAGAAGAAGAAGAAAAGTCACTGACACTATATAAAGGGGCTTTACTGCACAGTTGTCATCAGCAACACTGGAAGCCAGGGGGCTGGGGATTTAGCTCAGCGGCATAAGTGCCTGCCTTGCAAGCAGGCGGTCGTGAGTTCGGTCCCTGGTACCGATAAAAATGAAAAAGCCAAAAAAAAAAAAAAAAAAAAAGAACACTGGAAGTCAGCAAGCAGTAGGGTCACATCTTCACCATTTTGGGAGAAAATGATTTTGACCCTAAATTTCTATGCAAGATTGAACTAGCATTTAAATGTGATGGTGAAAAAAGACATTTTCAGATCTGCAGAGAATCAGAAAATTTACCAGCCAAAAGGCTTTTATGAGACATTTGCTGAAAAATGTTCTTCCACAGAATGAAAACTCACACAGACGAGAAAGATAATATGGGATGCAAAGAAAAGTGGATAAATCTGTAAAAGCCTCAAAGCGTGAAGCCCAGTAGGCAAGGGTTTGAACTTCTTGTTCATTAAATAGGTGAAGGTCGAGAGGGCTGGAGGTTTAGCTCAGCGGCATAAGCACCTGCCTTGCAAGCAGGCAGTCGTGAGTTCGATCCCTGGTACCAATAAAAAGGAAAAAAAGACAAAAAAAAAAAAAATAGGTGAAGGTCGGTAGGCTGGAGGAGAGGTGCTCAGTGTCTTCAGGATGGAAAAGCAAAGGAAGTCCCAGGATGGAAGAGCAGGAGGTCATATGGCTAGCGGAGAGGGAGCAGAAAACTCAGGGGGAGGGGAAGAGCAGGAGGGAGAGCTGGGGGTGGGTGGGAGGCAGAGGAGGAGGAGGAGGGAAAAACACTCAGGGATGGAGGAAGAAGAGAAGACACAAGGAGGAGAAAACTCAAAGACAGAAGAGGAGAGAGAAGAAAATCTGAGATGGAGCAGGAGGAAGAAGACAACTCAGGAATGGGAGAGAAGGAAGAGGAGAAGCGGCCACAGAAGGGAAAATGAAACCCAAGTGCGAAGGAGGAGAGGTCTCAGAGTTGCATGAAGAACTCGCCTGTAATTATTTGGCTGGGGAAGAAGAAAAGTTGAAGCCCCAGGAGGTGCACAACACTGAGGGAGAAGAGAGAACAGCTGCTTCTGGAGGTCAGGGATTGCAATCCGCTGTCTGACCTTGCCTTTGACCTCTCTCAACATCACTAGAGAGAAGTTCCGATGATCAGGAAAAACATTCATGCACAAATCTGAGTACTACATCAGGAATCACAAAGCCTTTAGGGAGAATAGAGGAGAGAGACACAAACTCTGCAAATAGAACAGCTGATATCCAAAGAAGCAGAGTTAATCCAGGAAGCAGAAGGAAACTTCAGAAGAATGATCAGCATTTTCAGAGGGATACAAGAGGAGACTGAAAATATAAGGAAATACAATCCAAATGCCGTGCAAGTTAATCACTTAGTAATCTGCATGGCAGAGTAGGTGTACTTGAGGAAAGAATGAGTAATCTAGATGACCAAATGGAAGAAGCATCTAAGGATACAATGAAAATGCCTTAGCGCTGATGAGTAAAGAAAAACTAGATACAGAACCTCCAATATCTGTTTGACAGCACCTCCAGAAAAAGCTGCAAGGGAGACAGAGCAGAGGATTTCATTAAGGACAATAACTGAAGAAAGCTTCTACGAGCCAAGAAGGACTCCACTCTTGAGGTTGTCAGTGCTCATTCAATCCCTAACATGGTCTATGCAAGAAGATTCACTCCTAGAAACACTCTTTGGTGATATTCTGGAGTTCCAGTGAGAGACAGAATCCTGAGGGAGGAATCACTGCAGGGAAACAACAGTGCAGACTTCCTGCCGAGCACACTGGATGCCAGGAGTCCAAGGGGTGATATCAGAGAAGGCCTGTGGAGAAGGGTTTCCAGCCTCAAATCCAGCATCCAGGAACACTGATCTTTGATTTTTGAGGAAAAACAAAGGCTTTTAAAAATATTGATGAATTTAAGAAATTTATTTCTCCTGTACTCTCTTTGAAAGAATTCCTAGAGAATACATTTCAGCACCCTAGACTGGAGGCAGCAAGTTACATTACACAGTGTGCTTTTTTCTCTACCAACACAATTCAAAAGTCAACAAGTAAAGCACTGCATCTCTACCAAGAAAGGTCGCCAATCAACACCTCTTCTTGGAGCTGTGAAGAAGGAACATTATTACACAGATATTCTTAAAGGATGTATTTTACAATTTAATGAGCGTTGACCAGGAATTTAGCTCAGGACACAAATGCTTGCCTGGCAAGCACACAGTCGTGAGTTTGATCCCCAATACCCTCTCTGTATAGAAAAAAAAATTAAAAAAATTAATGAGGATCAAGTGAGGCACAGGGACACACCCCTTGTAATCACAGCACTTGGAAGGCTGAGGCAGGAGGATCACTGTGAGTTCAGTGCCCACCTGAACTACATAGTGAGACCCTGCCTCAAAATAACAACAAAAATTTTAAAAAATATATTAATGAGGACCACCATAGATTGTGTAGAAGTTTTCTGTTTTTGTTTTTGTGTTTTAACTGAAAGGTGAACCCGGGGCTTTTGCACTGAGCTATGTTTCCAGTCCTTTATTAACTGTTTTATTATGAGATGGACCTCACTGGGTTGCCAAGGCTGGTCTCAAACTTGTGATCCTCCTGTTTAGCACTGAGTAGCTGGAATCCCACCGCAGGAGGAAGGTGTGTCATAATTTGTCACAGTGGGAGTCTCTACAAGAAAGCTTTTTCATTTGAAAAATAGGAAAAAGAATAATAATGGTCTCAGCCTCTGAGCGTGCGTGGAAGGCAGAGCTGGGGACATGGTCCAGTGCTAGGGCACTTGCCTAGAATGCTCAAGGCCCTGGATTCTCTCCCAGCACTGTGGGAGCAGCATTAACCCTCACCCATTCTCTCTAGCACCCACAGACAACTTTGGCTGAATCAGCATCTCACACAATGGCCCTACATTTACTTTCTTTTTTTTTTTTTTTTTGTCTTTTTCCTTTTTATTGGTACCGGGGATCGAACTCACGACTGCCTGCTTGCAAGGCAGGTGCTTATGCCGCTGAGCTAAATCCCCATTCCCTACATTTACTATTGACCTCTTCCTGTAGGGAAGGCCTTTTCCTACTCCCCATTTATTCACTCCTTCATTTCCTCAATCACCCAATCATATTAATCCTTTTTTCAATGGGTTGTGTCCATTGATGGTATTTTAATGCTCAAAATTATCCCAGATCTGACCGGATGGATGCTGTGTCCTTTGACAAATCCTTATTGTTCTTTGGCCCTATCTTGCATTTCTAGCACAAAATGTTTCAGGGTTGTTTTGTGCCTTCCTTCCCTAAGAAACACTTTTACAAGGATGATGCTTGAAACCAAGGTCTAGGGCTTCAGGGAGCTCCTTGCCTCCTGGGTGTCATTACTTCTAGACGCTTTCAGCAGGTAGAGCTGGAAAATAAATGTATCCTCTGGTATGTACAAATACAGGCACATGTCTGTGACTATTTTATGTATGAATGTCCATAAATATAACATAAAACTCATTAGGAGGCTGAGGCAGGAGGATTGCCATGAGTTTGAGGCCAGCCTAGGCTACATGGTGAGTACAAGGTCAGCCTGAACTACATAGAAAGACTGAAAACAAACAAAAATCCAAATAAACAAACAGACAAACAAAACCTTCACAAGTTCATAATGATCTCCAATCACAATCCAATATTTCTGTGTTCTTTTTTTTTTTTTTTTTTTTTTTTTTTTTGTCTTTTTCGTTTTTACCGGTACCGGGGACTGAACTCATGACGGCCTGCTTGCAAGGCAGGCACTTATGCCGCTGAGCTAAATCCCCAGCCCCTCTGTGTTCTTTTCTAACCATTCTCATTTGCAAATCACTTCTTATCGTGATGTCATTATTCTCAGACTGCAGATTCCATTATCCTCAATGAATTCACATTTCCCCCCAGTTTTCTAATTTTCTGTGTGTAACCAGCCCCCCAGTCACAGCATCACCTCCTTTTCTGCAGAATCCCCACTGCTGCCCCCCAGACCCCTGAACCTAACACTCCAGGTGGCCCTCCCCTCCCCTCCCTCAGCCACCGTGACACGGAAATTTTCACGACACCCAAACTGCTTCTGCTCCAAGCTTTCAACACTGGGCACCGAACGCCCCAGTGTCTTGCCATTCCGTCCCCTCTGTGTCAATGTCCCTTCTGCCCTGTCTCCTTGATGTGCACGGCACATGGACACCTAGGGGCAGAGAAGCAGAGGAAGGGAAGGAGCGCTCTGGGCTCCTTTTGGCTGCCAGTTCTAGGTTGTGTTAACGTCTTGGTGCCAGTGCTTTAAAGGATTGTTACTTTCTGTGTCTCGATGTCTATTGTTGCTTGTCAGATACCTCACGGGCCTGCAATTAGCATGTGTGGGGCCTATTCAGTGCCGCCCTCTGAAAGCCCAGTGTGACAGGGGACTGTGTATATAAAGGACTTCAATTAAGTGCGTAGATGGAGCAGCATACAAAGGTTTTAGAGGACCTGATGTTAAACATCTTTATCACAGTTTCTTAATTAATTAAAAACATCCTTTTTCCCAACAGGAGTTGCACATTCTAGTTGGGTCAAAGTGAGGAGTAAATTACATATTCTATAACTACTTAATAAGCCCTTTCTTCTTACCTTTGACACGTGCTAATGGGAGCTAAATGCCATCTTTACAAGGACTGTAATTTAACATTCTTCCCCCAAAATACTGACCTCCCAGGAGAGAAGTTTTGGATGTGCTAATGATCAGGGTGTCTTAATCTCACTGATTATATTTTGATTTCTTTCTGCATAACAGAACTTAATCTTTGAAATTCAAGAGGCGCAGGAAGACAAGGTGAAACCAAAGTGTGGTTATGATCGTTTCAAGACGCTCAGAAAGGTAAACTATTACTTATTTCATAAAATTAAATCATGAGTGTCAGTGTTCTTCTGTAGAAAAACTATGAATTTGTGTAGACAATTCCCCTTGCTTGTCCCTTTTATCTAAGAATATTCCCATGCTGACTTTAGCTAAGTTATCATTTGCTTATGAGTTATCATTTGCAATGAGTTATCATTGCTCTGCTTCCTCTTGTACCCCATAGAAGCAAACAAGAGGTTCATTTGTTTGTTGTTTGTTTTATCTTGTTGGTAGTAGAGATCAAATCCACAGGTGCTCTGCCACTGAGTTACATTCCCAGCCCCTTTTATTTTTTTACATTTTGAACCAGCATCTCATTAGGTTGCCCAGGTAGGACCTACACTTTGATCCTCTTATCCCAACCTAATAAAGCCCAAGAGTTACTTTCATTCCTTGGAATATCTCAGTACTCCTTGAGTACCGAGCTTTGTGCACCATAATTCATGAGTCAGGCATGATTTTTTTTTTTTTTTTTTTTTTTTTTTTTGTCTTTTTCCTTTTTATCGGCACCGGGGATCGAACTTAAGACTGCAAGGCAGGCGCTTATGCCGCTGAAGTAAATCCCCAGCCCCGAGTCAGGCATGATTTACTATGGATAATTATTGATCCTCGGATTTCCTATAGGAGGTTGGTTGTTTGGAGGAGGTTATGTGGCTCATCATACAGATAGAGGAACAGGCAGGAAAGGGACGTAACATGCCCAGCATTGCCCGTGGCCCTATGATTGGACACACATGTGCTACAATAAAATACATTTTTAAATAAAGAAAATTTTTGTTACTTACATACATTAACTATGTTATATAGTTTATATGTAGTCCAAGACAGTACCATGAGGCATGTCCAACCCACACTGACCAAGGGGGAGGAGAAACAGCCAGAGTGATGAGATAGCTCCCCCAAGTGTTCCTCTGCTAGTATTGCAGAAAGACTTGGGCCACCTGTTCACCCAAGATGTCACAGGCTGCCTTTCTGGATGAGCCCTTTGCAGAGGAAAGTCCACAAGCCACATTCTCCTGTGACCCTTCACGCATTAAAACTGTGGTGCAAAAATCAGCACATTTGGAAGTAGGCTGACATATATGCAAATGGATAGGTGGAGTTTCCCCAAGTGGAGTGAAAAACAACTTTGAATCTGAAGGCCTTGTTGATATTTTATTATAAAATATTGGGGCTGGGGATTTAGCTCAGCGGCATAAGTGTCTGCCTTGCCAGCAGGCAGTCGTGAGTTTGATCCCTGGTACCGGTAAAAATACAAAAAAAAAAAAAGAATCAAGAATCCTATAATGAAAAGATGGATTCCAACTCCAGAGATTAAGACATAAATCATTGCTAAAGATGTCAAAGACCCTAAGTATCCTTCTTAGGACACATTCCTTCCCTCTCTTTTTACCCAAGGTAGCAACTATGCCTAATTTTTAAAATTCTTTTCCTCTTATTTACATTATCCACAATTTTGGTTTAGTTTTTTACCATTTGGATTTTATTTAAGTAGTATCACAGTCTAAGTTTTTTCTATGGCTTTTTTTTCATTTCCAGGGTTTGGGGTTTCATTCTCTGGTGCTGGGCTTTGAACCCAGGCCCTGAAGCATGGTAGGCTGGTGCTCTACCACTTGCACATCACACTCACCTTTCCCCCTCTATGTTTTTGTACCACCATGATTTAATGTTCTGAGAACTTTGAGATGCCTAACCTGGTGAATGCATATGCAAGAATTTCTTAATTTCATGAATGCAGCTAAGCACAGAACTGCTGAATTGAAGGGTCCGCACAGGCTCAAATTAAGACATTAAATTTTTTTTTTGTCTTTTTCATTTTTATCGGTACCGGGGATCGAACTCACGACCGCCTGCTTGCAAGGCAGGTGCTTATGCCACTGAGCTAAATCCCCAGCCCCAAGACATTAAATTAAAATGCTCTACAAAGTGATTCTTAGAATTGCCAGACTTAATTTCAATCAATAGGATGAGTGTAAGATGTTATTTTGTGATAGTAATTTGTATTATTATTACTAATAAAATTGGGCATTTTCACACATTTATTGGTTAATTGTATTTTCTTCTCTGTGCAATGCCTGTTCATGTCTCTTGCCCATTTTTAGTACATTGCTTATCTTTTTCCTTTAACTTATTGGAGCTTTTTTTAACTTATTGGAGCTCCTTTAACTTATTGGAACTTATTTTAGTTTTGTTTATTTATTATTTCGAAACAGGGTCTCACTGTGTAGTTCAGGCTGAACTTGAGTTCACTATGTAGCCCAGGTTGGCCTCAAACTCATGGTGAACCACCTGCCTCAGCCTCCTGAGTGCTAGGATTACAGGTGGGTGCCACCACACGTGGTTTGGTGTCTTTTTTAAAAATGTTCTTTTTTTGGTAGTTATTTCAAAATAATTTCAAGTCCTATATGGTTCATCCAGAGTCACCAATTGTTAAAATTTTGCCACATTTGTTTTATACTTTTTTCTATCTTTTCTCTTGAACTATTTGAGATAAATTTCAGTCATCGTGAGTTTTTACACCTTTCCCCAAAATTTCAATTTGTATTTCCTCAGAATAAAAACATGATGATATTCACTTATATAAAGTACAGTGACAAGAATCAAAATTTTGTGACAAAATTAATGTAACATAAAATCAGTTTGATGCCACTTAGTGCACTCACAATGCTGTGAAATCATACGTCTCTCCTGCTTCCAAAACACTTTTTAACACTATGTGTTTGATTTTTAAAGTTTGTGGCAGTACGAGTAGATATTGATAAAATATAAAAATGCTCTTCTTGATACTGTGAAAAAACAAAAATTCATAATAAAATACTTAAAGAATAACCATGGTTAATTTACTGTGTATCATGATCTTCAAAGAAGGGCCAAGATGTTATTCAGAGTAGAGGTAATAAACCAAAAAAGAATATCTTTTTCAAAGACAAAACGTACAAATAAAAGGACAAAACTTTCTTTTCAATGAATAAAAGAAGCCAGTAGAATAAACAAAACAAACTGGCATTTATCTCAAAATGTAAATAAAAAAGTAGATCATTTGAGGAGTTGCTTGAACTTCTCCTTCCTGTTTACCTACTAGAGAAATACAATTGGAAACTACACTGAGATACTGTCTTACCCCAGAAAGAACAGCCATCATCAAAAAATTAAATAATAACAAACACTGGAGTGGATGTGGGGGGAAGGAAACTCTCTGATTGCTGATGGGCATATAAACCAGCACAACCACCATGGAAATCAGCGTGGAGATTCCTCAAAAAATTAGAAACAAAAATTCCATTTGATCCTGCTATCCCCCTTCTAGGTCTCTTCTCAAAAGAGTTAAAGGCATCATATTACAGGGAGGGATATGTATATAATCAACCCGCATAGACCCTAGTTTCCCCCAGCCTCCTGCCTACTCTACCACCTCTGCAGCTGCAAATCTGTTTTTGGTTTCCCTGGATCTACCTCTTCTGAATACTTCATATATGCAGAGTCACTCCGTAAGTGACATTTTATACCTGGCTTCTTTGGTTTTGAGGTGGCCATACTGTCACATGTGTTTGTGACTAGTTTATCCCTTCCAGCACTCGGTTATACGTATATACACGGTCACTGCCCTCCAACTTAAATGATGGCCATTTAAGTTGCTTCTATCTTTGGATACTGGGGGTAGCACTGCTATGAATTCTCACATTACAATATCCGAGTACCCAATTGCAATGCTTTCAGATGCGTACCTAGGAGTGGAATTGCCAGGTCACAGTGCACTACTGTGTTGAACTGTTTGAGGAACTGCCAAAATGTTTTCCTCAGTGAAAGCATTATTTTACATCCCACCAGCGGTGAATTAGGTGAATAAGGGTTCCGACTCCCCCACATCCTCACCTACGTTTGTTTTTCTTTACAAAAAAAATCATCCATCCTGGTAGGTGTGAAGTGGTCTCACTGTGGTTTTGACTTGCATTTCCCTCCTGATTAATGATGCTAGATATCTTTCCATAGGCTTGTTGTTCATATATCTATCTTCTCTGGAGAAATGTCTTTCAAGTCCTTTGCCCATTTTTAGAAGGTCAGTGCTTTATCCGTTAAGCTACCGAGGCTTCTCGCTTGCCCACTATTAGACCATGTTTTGAAAGGATTGGATCGGGTTGGGCTGGGCTGGGCTGGGTTTCTCGGTGGGGGACTCAGTCCTGGGGATGGAAGCACCTAGAGCATCATACATGCTGGACAAGCAGTCTACAGCTGATATACAACTCAGGTGTTTTTAGATTTTATTCTGAGACAAAGTCTCAGTAAGTTACCCAGGCTGGGCTCAATTTTGCAAGCCTCACACCTTCCCTTCTAAATCATGGGATTACAGGCATGCATCACTGTTCCAGCTGTCTTTTAGCTCTTTGTTGCTGAGTTGTTCTTTGGATAGTCTGAATAAGAAGCTTGCTGGAATGTATTTTGTAAATATTTCCCCCGTTCTGTACCTTGGTTTTGTATTTTCTTGGTAATGTCTTTTCATGCAGTAAAGTTTTCTTTACTGTGGTGAGTCTTGGCCTGGATTTCTTTAGGTTTATCGTATGGGAATTCACTCAGCTTCTTGAATCTGTGTCTTTTGCTGGATTTGGGGCCTTTCGGTCATTATTTCTTCAATATTTTTTTCAGCCCCCCGCTCCGTGTCTTCTTTCTCTGGACTGCTGACACAAAAGCCAGGTTTTGGGCAGAGTCCTACAGGCTCTCCAGACCTTCCGCCCCGTGTGCTTTCTCTCTGTTATTCAATGTGAACAGTTTATACTGTTCTATTTTCAAACTCACTGATTCTTTACCTTCTCCATTCCACCGCTGATCTCCTCCGCAGGGATTTGGGGGGGGGGGTCTTTTGTTTGTTTGTTTGTTGTACTGTTTTCAGTTCTAAAATTTACACTTAGTTCTTCCTATACATTCTACTTCTCTGCAAGGGTTTGGTTTTGTTTTTCCCTGGTTCCCAATATGTTCATACTGTTCACTGGAGCGTTTGATGATGACTGTTTAAAGTCCTGGGGAGGTAATCCCGTGGTGTTGATGGCTGTTTGGTTAATTCTTGAATTACAATCCTCTGGGCCTTACATAACCCTTAGTGGACTCCTTGCTGCTGTGAGAACAGCTGCTTCCCGGCTGTCGGCTGTCGGGGGACACCTTATCACAGGGCTGCTGGGGCGTGTCCCCCCGCTCCGGGCCCTCTACTGACACAGCCAGCCAGAGCACACGGGTCCAGCACGTGGCGGGGATGTCCAGGCTTCCTGTCCATGATGGTTGTGGGTGGAATGGCTGGAGCAGGACGCATCCTCCAAAAGTTTTGTTTTACGAGGCTGCTCCTTTCTTGTCCTCTGGCTTTTGGGGCTTTTGGGAAGACCAGAGCCATTGTTATTTCCAGGTTAACCTCCCTCCCTAGCATCCAGTCTGAGGTGTGTGCAGCAGAAGAAGAAAACCTAGGGACCCCACCGCCCCTTACAGTTTCCTCCTCCTCGCAGTGGCCTCTCCGTTCTGAGACTAGGTCTTACTGTGTTGCCGGGCCAGTCTCAGACTCCCAGCTCTCCCTCCTCCCTCAGTCTCCCGGTTACCTGGAATTCTTTGCATCTTCAAGCCTGGCTTCTCGGACCGCTTCTCTGTAATACTTAACAGCAGGCAATCTTTCCTTGGTTTTTATTTTATTTTATTTTGTTCTCTTTTTGAGACAGGTCTCACTGTACTTCAGGCTGGCCTTGAACTCACTTTGTAGCCAAGGCTGGCCTTGAACTCACAGCAATCCTCAGGCCTCAGCCTCCCGAGTGCTGGGATTACAGGCGTGCGCCACCACACTTGACTCTTGGTTTTGATTTTAAAGGGAATATTTTTAGTAATTTTCTTTTAGTATGACCACTGGTTTTGGAAGACACTTTTTATGAAGTTTAAGAAATTCTCACCCTATTCCTGGTTTTCTAGATTTTCTTTTTCTTTTCTTTTTGTAGTATTGGGCCCAGGCCTGCTTCCAAGCCCTTTTTAAATTTTCTAAATTTTGAAACAGGATCTCACTAAGTCACTAAGGTTAGGTTTAAACTTGTGATCCTCCTGCCTCAGCCTCCTTTACTACTGAAATTAGACGTGTGTGTCACCATGCCTGACCTGATTTACTAGATTTTTTTCCAACTAAGAATGGAGATGGTCATAAGGTTGTTAAGCTTTTTCTTGTTGTTATTGTTAATATGGTGCAGATTATTTTAAAAGCTTTTTAGTCAATTCAAAATCATTACTATACTTAGGCTAAAGAACATGTTTTATTTACTTATTTTATTTTTTTGGTACCAGGGATTGAACTCACCACTTCATGCCAGCCACACCACTGAGCTAAATCCCTGGTCCCAAGAACATGTTTTGAATGAAAAATTTATTGAATCAAGATGGAGGCACAAAGAAGTAAGTATCTGTTATTATAAGATCTTTTGATTGAATGGTTTTAGTCAACTAAGGGATTTGAGGTTAACTCAATTTTAAAGAGTCTAAATCAAAAGCTGCTTCTTTTGCCAGTAAGCAGGCGGCAACTGCCAGTTTGCTGTGTCATTTGTAAAAAGGTCTGATTTGTGTTTGTGTGTGTTACCCAATCATGGGGGAAGGAACTAGAGCGACCGGGAGACTGTCATGTTTTGCTTGGAGACAATGCCATGGCTGAGCCACAGAGCTCCTGACTCCCACAAGTCAAAGGGTAGAAGTCCCAGGGCAAGAAGCGCAGAAAAGGCTCTTCTTCCATGGCTCAGCCCACATTTTGGTGAGCTTTGTGTCAATAATGCAAGATACATACCTTGTGGAAATACAAGCAAGCCTGTACTTCTTTAGGGACAGTTAGTAATGGCTTTAGTCAAGGTTGATCTTTATTCAAAAATCAAATGTAAGCTGGGCATGGTGGCACATATGTATAAGCCCACTACCCTGGGAGGCTGAGGCAGGAGGAATGCAAGTTTAAGCCCAGCCTGGGCCATATGGGCAATTTAGCAAGAACGTATTCCAAAATAAAAAATAAAGGGTTGGAAGGTGGCTGGCACCCTTCTCCCCCCAAATACTGAGATTTATTAGCCCAGTGTTTTGTACTATGCTACGGTAGAATACAATACAGTATCACGTAGCATTTCATATGCATCTCATCTTAAATTCAGTGTGATGTAGGTAAGGAAGCCAAAGCTGGCAACAGTACTCCCCTGCAAAAACCTTACAGAAGGCTATTTTTCTGAAATATTTAAATATAGAATGAATGAAGACTTCCACAGGAAATTCATGGAAACAGTTTTTACAAATATATTTTTATATGTTTCCCATAAGGGTTCTTCTCATAGATTTTCTCTCTTTCCTTTCCTTTCTTTTTCTTTTCTTTGAGGTAGTGTCTCACTGTGTTCCAGACTGGTTTGCAACTTGCTGTGTAGTGCAGACTGGTCTCTAGTTTTTGATCTTCGTGCTTCAGCCTCCAAGAATGCTAGATTACAGACATGAGCTATCATGCTGGTTTAGAAATATTTATTTTAGAAAGACTTTGGCAAAAGAAAGTCTCATGTTAATATCTGTTTCTTTTTGGTTTATATCTTGCACTCTGAGTAACTAGTTTTATTTTATTTTTATTTATTTATCTTTTAAAAGATGGGGTCTCACGAGGTAGCCCAGGTAGGCCTCAAACTCCTGTGATCCTCCTGTCTCAGCCTCCCAAGTGCTGGGATTACGGGTTGTGGACCGCCACATCAGGCTTGTATAATTACTTTGACAATAATGATACACAGTGTAGTAACTATTATTTTTTATCATGATTATAAAATTTTGTTTTATTTCATAAAATAAAAAAGTCACAAGAAATGCAACTTCAGAAAAATAAAAAAGACTTTGGATCGAGAGTATCTGGGTCTAAAAAATATAACTGTGCCTTTTATTAATTGTGTTACCTAAGACACATCAATTGGTTCTTTAAGCTACTGTTTTCCTCATCTATTAAGTGATAACTGTCACGGTTTCTCTTCAGGGTGTTAGAAAGGCTAACTGAACTGAGGGGCGGTGGCTGTCCGAGCTAACTGGCACAGAACACAGTGCCTCCTGCAGTGAGGCAGAGCGTGCTTTCCGCAGTTCACTGAGCGGACAGGACTCAGGGACTGGGGACTGCGCGTCCAGAGCTGGCCCTGGCTCTGTGCCTCATCCGCTTGTGGCCACAGATGGCTTTGAAAATTGAGTTTATTTATATCAAACGTTCTGATCCGTGCCTGGCACACCGGAAGTGCTGTCCAACTGTGCGCAACGCACTCCTGCTTTACCGGTAGTGCACCAGGCCTCAGGTCCTGAAGTGTGGGTTGGCAGAACCTTCAGATCCAAGGGCTGGGGGCGTAGGGAAAGGGAGCAGAAGCAGAGGAGGCCACGCAGCTACCGCAGGGCTCTGAGTGCTTGGCAAACCCAGCAGCTTTGCAGATTTTATCTCTGGGCACAGGGAGAAGGGCGACAATCCCGCGTGCTCCTGTGAGCCGTTCACCATAGCTAAGCCCTTGCGTTAATGAGCAGCCGCATTTTTCAGTTCCACTGTGATGTTGTTTATGGTGAAAGTCACATTAGGACAGCGTTACAAGGAGGTTTTAAAGGTGAAAAAGGGTCTGGGGGTTTAGCTCAGCGGCATAAGTGCCTGCTTTGCAAGCATGTGGTTGTGAGTTCGATCCCTGGTACCGGGAAAAGAAAAAAAAAAGATAAAGTAGAAATCAACTATCAGTTCACCACTGGAGGCAAAAACTAGTTTGTGTTGATTTCTCTCTAGTGGTTTTGGTTGGTTTTTGTTTGTTTTGTTTTGCTTTGGATTTTTTGGCAGTACTGCAGATTAAATCCCGGCTTTGCGTGCACTAGCCACGCACTGTAAAACTGAACTGTGCTGCTAGACCTTTTAATTTCAGGCAGAGTCTTGGAAAGGTGCTGGGATTGGCCTGGACCTTGGGCTCCTCCTGCTTTCCAGACCCTCACACCAGCCCCCTGCAGTGTGCTTCAGGGCTTATCTAGTATCTGTGCCTGTCTGATTTTTAGACCCTACCCATGGTTCAACATGAAGTGCCAACCTTTTTGTTCTTATATGGTCTTCATAGTGTTATTATGGAGGGCTGCACACTCAGGTGGATAGGCCGTAATTAATCCAGTTTGAAAATCAGAATGTTCACCTTTTACATACTCTAGGAGAACTCCAGCTATGAATGATAGCAAAAAAGATAAATTACAAAAGAATGGGATAACCAAGTGTAATGGCTCATGCTCATAGTCCCAGGTACTCTGGAGGCTGAGACAGTTGAGCTAAAGAGTTTAGGATCACTCTGAACAACACAGTGAGATCTTGTCTCAAACAAGAAGAAGAAGAGGAAGAAAGAAAGAATAAGAAAGGGATAGAGGCAGAGAGACAAAAAAGAAAGAAAGATCTACTCTTTAGGGCAGGAGGAAAGGGAAGGGAAGGAATATTTACTTGCCTAAGAGCCTGAAAGCCTGTAATTTGACTTTGAATAGTTCTATCCCAAACACTTTATTTAACATATCTATTTTTAAGTTTAAGAAAATTAAAAAGCCATGACATGTGATGGGGGTGCAGGGGCTCATTGCACTGTTGTGTACTTTTGTGTGTGTTTTAAGTTTTCCATAAATAAGAACGCTGTTTTTTTTAAAAAGAACTTGCTTAATCAAAGATATTCCTGACCGTCTTGGGGACAGCCAAAGCTCCTCTTTCTGTGGCCAGCGCCCCTGGGAGGTGGATGCTGGGCCATGCAGCACCCATGCTGTGCCCAAAGCCCCTTCTCAGTCGGGAGGCCACTCTGGTTTTCTTTAAAGAGAGGTGGGCCGAGACCAGCAGATGCATGGCGTCGGCGTCGGGGACTGTGTAGAGTCACAGTGTGCCCTGTCGGGACCTCCCCATGACATGCCTGCTAAGACCGGCCCTGCTCCTCCAACCTCATCCTGTCATCTCATCTTCACTGCCGAGGGGTCTCGGGTCTTGGGCCAGGGCCTGGCAGACTCTGAAGCAGGAAAAGGCCTAAATCTTAAACTTCAATCGACAATAACAAAGGAAAAACAGGGTGTGATAGTCAGCTCTGTGAAAGAAAGAAAACCAGACTATGAGAAATATTAGTAACATGAAAATTAATAACTATAACCATCATAATCATTATTAATATTAAGTGCTTACGCTATGCCAGGAGGTGTTCAATCACCTTGCCTGCATTAAGTCACTTAACTTTTACAACTCCATTGCACAGCGGGGGAGTCAAGGGCCGGCCCTTTTTACTTTCTTTTAAAAATAACAGGAGACATTGTTGAGCAAAGTAAAAAGCCAGGATTCTCCTTTTACTTCTCTCATAGAGAGGCGTTTCCTTTTCTAAATTATTTTATGGCCCTTCTTCATAGTCAACACGGTTTTCAGTTTTATTTAGTTTTGCTTTGTTTCATTTTGTGGTTCTAGGGATTGAACCCAGGTCCTTCACGCTGAGCTATGCCTTCGGCCCTTTTTAATTTTTCATTCTGAAGCAGGCTTCCACTAAGTCGCTAAATTGCCCAGGCTGGGTTCGAACTCAAGACCCTCCCATCCCATCTTCTCGGAGTGCTGGGAGCACAGAGGTGCAGCCAAGCACAGCTCATCGGACTTTTATAGTGACTTTTTCTTTGCCTAAAACTGACATATAGAAAAAAGCTCCAAGTCATAAACAGATAAAATAGGAACACAAACTAGGGAGTTGGAATTTAAGAACAGAGCTCTGTTTTCGTCCTCTGCTCCATCAGTCCTGCATCTGTCACTCTCATGACTCACTGAAGTAAAATTTGTCTGACTCGGATGTTATTGCTAGTTCCTGAAGAAAAGCAAACTTGAAGCTGTGTTATGAGGTATCAAACCCCCCGATGTGCAGAAATTGATTGGTCCTCAGATTGGGTGCTTATTTTTTTCTAAAATAAAAACCAAGGTCTTTTGTACACGGCGTTGGCATTTGGTACACTGTTGACATTTTCTTTGTGTTTATCAGAGACCTGGGGCTTCCACCAGTAAAACAAGAGCTCTCAATGTCTACTGTGTGGGTCCGAAGCCTTCCAAGGCAAAAAGGTAACAAAATCCCCTTGTGAGCAGAGGAGGAAGTGGTATTATGGGGTTCTGTAACTCCTGGTAGAAAATTGCCATTCAGATTTCCGGCCAGGGCTTGAGTCAGTAAAGAATCTGTTGAGAAGGAGGAAGGTATGTAATGGTGTGTACCCTCCAAGCCCACAGGGCCGTCGTGGCCTCTAGTCTGCTGCTCCTATTAGACAAAGGCAATTGGGCTGGGGTGGCAGTGGAGAGGACCCCAGAAGTCTGCATCTAAGACCAAAGTCCGGGCTTCCTACTGGGCGGTCTTTGGAAACCTTTGTTCCTGTTGGTATCCTGGGAGATGGCTGAGCAGTGTGGGGTAGGGAGCATATATCTGAAATAAAATCCAGCTGGGTCATTTTACTAGTCAGAAAGTAAAAGTGGGAGAATGGGGCCCGGAGGTGTGGCTCAGTGGTAGAGGGACAGTCCCTTGAAGTCAGGAAGCTCCCTACCTTCTGAATGAATATTAGCAGGTTTTACAGAGTTGGAGAAGTAGAAATAAGTAGGTTCTCACTAAAAAATTTCAGCAAGTGTGCCATCTTTTGGCTCTGGTAAATACAGATTTTCATAAGGAAATGTACAAGCCCTCTGAGTCAGGCTTTGGATCAGCACTGGGAAGCGTTAGGCTGGTGGTGGAAATGGCCGCGCAGTGGTTTGTGGGCTTAGAACTGGTCACCAGTGCAAAGCAGCGTAAGTGCTGACCCAGGGCTGTACTGAAAGCCACACTGTGGTCGCTTCTTCCGACCTTGAGGTCTACACAACTCACTTTAAGGGGTGCTCAGGAAGTAGCTATGCACAACCCTACGAGCCACTCGTGTTTCCACAGGTGCCCTGCCAGAGCGTGGAACTACAGGAACAAATGTAGGACTGTCCCCCCAGGGACGAGGTGCTGTGTGGGGAACCTGAGTGACCTCAGGAGCCAGTTCCCAGTGTGCCTGAGGCTGGCTGTGCTTGGCATTTTCTTCATCGTGCTGTTCGTCTACATTACTGTGGAAAAGAAGTCACTCTTCGGTTAGGCACTTTAGGAACAGGGCGTTGCACCGAGCCTTGGTATCTCCGCACCAGCCCTTCTGCTTCAGGGACGAACCCAGGGCTAGGCCGGACTAAGCTGGCCAGCACTCTGAAGCCAGGCAGCCTTCCCTGGCCCTGTGACGGGCAGCACACAGCCATATCGGGGCCCAGCCAGGTGGAAAAAGAGAACCAGGCAGCCATGTGGAGACAGTGATGGTTAGCAAATCCCCTGAGTGATGTAAGTCATCATTAAAGGCACTTCCATGTAAAGCGGAATTCAAACAAGAAAACCAGCCTGCTGTTCTTCTCTCCTCTCCTCTCCTCTCCTCTCCTCTCCTCTCCTCTCCTCTCCTCTCCTCTCCTCTCCCCTGCTTTCTCTCCCCTCCCTTCCCCTCCTCTGCCATCCACTCCTCTGCCCTCTCCTCTCCTTTCCTCCCCTCCTCTCTCCTCTCTCTCTTTCCTTTTCTTTGCAAACAAAAGATCTCACATCTTCCTCACTGAGCCAACCCACTAGTACAGAAAATAGAAACAAAGAGAAAATTAGGTTCTCAGGAAAACATGTCCAGCTGGTAGACAGTGGCAACCTTCACAGCTTGGTATGGCAAAGTGACAGTGACACCCCTACAGCATAAATGTGAGTCATCTCAGGTGCCACTTGCTCATAGACCTGGCTTGATCTTCTTCATTAAGTGGTGCCTAACTTTGTTATCAGTTTTTATCCAAATCCACTGGGGAAGAACAGGTGAATTTCTTTTGTTTCTCAGCCAGGAATCCCTTGATCCTGAGTCGTGGTAGGGTCCCAGGAATGGAGTCTGTGATATCCCAGATAGTGGAGAGGAGGAGACAGTGTGGTTAGCTACAGTGATAAGTGGGAGGTTATTTTTTAGTCACTCTGCAAATTGTACAGCCAACCTCAAGAAAGGCTTCAAGAGCTGATTAACAAGACAGGGGGAAGGTTGTGACTGGGGAAGAGCTCTCTGAAGCCTGAGCCCTAGGTTTGAATCCCCTGCTCTAAACACAACAGCAAACTAGGAACGTGGTTAAGCCAACCCAAAGAAATGCCCAGCATCACAAAAACAATTTAGAACAAGACAGCATTTTTATCTTCGGAATTTAGAAAGAGTCTAAGAAATAAAGGCCTAAGGAGGGAGGGTAATGACCAGGGGCCCCCTCTTTTATGGCTCTGTCAATTAGCATCAACTGAAAACTGAGACAGAACAGACCTCTGAGGGTACTGAAGAATTTGAAGAAATAATGCATATAAACTACTTCCTGGGGTTGCAGTAAGCAATCCATAAGTGCGAAGCAGTGGTTCAGTGTGACCTCCTTCCCCTGGGAGGAGCCGGTTTTAGGCACGCGCTGTCCCAGTTTCCCACTCAAACACCCAACAATGGGGAAATAGTTGAATAAACAGAATTACAGTTACCACCTCCCCTCCTCCCTTCTCCTTCTCCTCCTCACCCTCCTCTCCTTTGCCTGTTCTTCTATTTTCTTTTTGTGGTTCTACGGATTGAACCCAGGACTTTCACACCGAGCTATATTCTTAATCCTTTCCTTTCTTTTAAAATTTAGTCTTTTAGAGATTTTTGTTTGAAACAGGATCTAGCTAAATTGCCACAGCTGGGGTCCTCAGACTTTCATTCTTTCTGCCTCAGCTTCCCAGAACACATGAGATTATAAGTGTGCAAAGCTACACAAGGACAGGGATTGTACAGCTTCATGACAGATAATAAAACAAAATTTAAATATTAGCTGGATGTGTTGACCCATGCCCACAATCCCAGCACTCAGGAGGATCACCTGCACTACATAGTGAGTTCAAGACTGTTTGCTGTTCAGGGGAGGTGGGGTGCACCTGTAGTTCTACTTACTTGGGAGCCTGGAACAAAAAAATCACAAGTCTGAGTGAGAACATCTTGTCCATGAAATAAAACTCCAGTAAGTCTGGCTTAAACAGATAGGAATTCATTTTTATCTTATAAGAAGTCTGGAACTTAAGACATATCATATTGTTTACCACATGTAATATGATTCTGATTCAGATAAACCAAATAAAGAAAAAATTGTGATCAAGGAGATTTGAAAATGACTAGATCTTTTGTGATATTACAAGATGCTGGTCTTACTGGGCTGCAGCAACTATTCTGTGACTATGAGGTAAGAAGCATACAAGAAAAGATGAATCAGAGTCTCTGGCCAGGTACCTCTGAGTTGCTGGAATTAGTTCTGTAACTGAGGCCATCTTGTTAATATTTAAGGTAGAACGTACAGACTGATTACCATTCATCACTGGTTGCATGTAATGTATTTATTCCAAAGCAGCAAGGAAGATTCAGAAAGTAGCATTTAGCTTTAACAACTTCCACATTAGACAAAGGAGAAGAAACCTGGATACAGGAATAAGAGGCACTAGCCTTCAGGAACCCTGTTATCTCTGTTCTTAATAAGATCAAGTATTACCAAAATTAAAACTCTCCTAGAAAGCACTCAGTATTTTCAGATTTCGCCACTGAGTTCTTATGTGATCCCAGAATCCTGGGGTCAGTGTAAAGAAACTTTGGTGGGTCTCCTTGCAACAACCAAGCCAGGACCTGTTTCTTTTTTCTTTTTCTTTTTTCCAGTTCTGGGAATCAATGCATGCTAGGTAAACAGTGAGACACAGGGCTGCATATACCCTCAGGCTTTTTCTCTGAGACAGAGCCTCTAACTTGCAGTCCCACAGGAGAGTCACTGGGGTTGCAGGCACCCGTCATCCGCTTAGACCCTGCCTGCTAACAGGGCCCCAGGTGAGTCCTGTGCACCCCGAAGTCTCCCACTCCTACCCAATGCCACAGTGTAACAGTTTGATAAGAATACAGACTTGGTCTCCGCCCCTGTTTCCTGGTCCACAGCTCCTAAAACCCTGGGACTCATGGTGTCTCTGTGGTGTTGCTCCTGGCTCTAGGTAGCTTCAGGATGGGGACTGATCACCCCAGAATGACCAAGGTAAAATTAGGGTTAAGTTTTTTAGCCCCATCCCTCAGTGTCTGGGGAGGGGTTAGGCTAGGTTGGTCAAGTTGGTTTCCAAGAGCCAGTGGTATAATCAGGCTACATAACAAAGCCCTCACAGAAACCACAAGCACAGTGTTTAAGGGGCTTTCCAGATAGTGACCAACCCAAGGGTTCAACGCTAGGGGATTTAACCCAACACATGGAAGTGCCTGCCGGACAGCTCCCACCCACTTCCTGGCCACCCTAAGCCTCTGCCCCAAGGGACTGTCCACCAGAATCTGTATGTCCTCATGAATAAACCAGTAAATACAAGCTAACATTTTCCTTGGGTCTGGGGGCGCTGTAGCAAATGAATTAAAGCTAAAGAGGAAATCCAAGAAACCCTCATTTATAGGCAGTGGCTCTGCGGCACAGAAAGATAACCCAGGCTTCAGATTGTTATGGGAGAGGGTCAGGCTTGTGGCACTGAGCTTGCAGCCAGTGGGGATCACACAGCACAGGCAGACAACACTGATGTGGAACTGAGTGAAAGGACTCCGCCTGGGGCCCACTGGAGAGGCTGGTGTGGCACCTGCATAGAGGACAGGGAAACGCCCCATCACCCGCTGACAGAAGCAGCGCTCTGGCCTCTCCCGTCTCTGATAGATGCTACATAGGAGTCCCCAAGGACTGCAGTGAGTCTATCAAGAGTCTATGCACAGGGGCTGGGGATTTAGCTCAGTGGCATAAGCACCTGCCTTGCAAGCAGGCGGTCGTGAGTTCGATCCCTGGTACCGATAAAAACGAAAAAGACAAAAAAAAAAAAAAAAAAAAAAAAAAAAAAGAGTCTATGCACAGTGGGGGGGGGCACCCTGGGGAAACTGTCTTGAAGGAAGAGACTCAAGGCAGACAAATCCAACTGTTCCTTTGCCACTCCCCTGCACCTGCAATAAAATGACAAAATTAGCACAGGCGGCTCTGCACTCAACTGTCACCAAGAATACAAAAAATGTTTAGTGCTGGTGAGGATTCAGGAAAAAGGAAGCGTCCTGTGCTGCTGGGGGAAATGTGAATTAGTGTCTCTGTGAAGTCAATCTGGAGAATCCCCAGAAAACTATACAGAGAGCTACCATGTGACCCGGCTCTACCATGGCTTGGCATGTTCCTGAAAGAAAGTCTGCACATGATAGGGACACCTGCAGGCCCGTGTTTACTATGGCACAGTTCACAACAGCCTAGGTAAGCAACCAGCCTAGGTGTCCATGGATGAATGAATGGATGAAGAAAATACGGTGTGTCTACACAATGGAATATTATTCAGCTATAAGAACAAAATTGTGTGCCTGCAGGAGCCTGGCTGCACCTGGAGATCATCATGTTGAGGGAAGTAAGCCAGACTTTGCAAGGAAAGTGTCACATGTTTCCTTACTACATGGACACTTAGGGAAAAAAGAGAGATGAGAGAAGAAGGGAGAATACTGTTATTATGATCAAAAGGTTACATGTAGGTAGGAAAATGCCACACTGAAACCCAGAATTTTATAAAATTATGATGCACTGGTAAAATATACATTTAAAAAAAAGTGAGACAGTCACCAGTCTGTCAAGAAACAGGCTGGTGAGGGGAGTGATAAACCCACAGACACCGTGGTGTTAGGCCACGTCATCCTGATGGTGGCCCAGGCTCCCTGGCAGCAGTCACTTTGCTCTGACAGTGAGCACAAGGGCTCCCTAGAGAGAGTGACGCTGCAGCTGAGCAGGAGGATTCAGCCCAAAGAAGGGGGAGGAAATTGGGCGCAGGGACAGGGGAAGCCTGACAGCAGAGTGAGCAGATTTATACGGTCTCTTGTGACAGGGAGGTTAGCAACCTGGGGAGCCATGGGGGAGAGAGGATGGGGCGATGTGGCTGGAGGAGAAGATGGGGTTCAGATCTCAGAAGGTCTGGAGACCACATCAAGGAAAGGATGGTCAGAGTTAAGGAAAATGTGAATGCTTGTCCTGGCCAGTAAGTGAGAAAGGGAACCAGCAGTATCTGCCTACCTGGATAGCCTCAAGTCAGCTTCCTGCCTGTCATCTAGAAAGAGAAGACTCCTAAAGAGTGGTGCATACTTGTAATCCAGCACTCTTGGAGGTTGAGGCAGGAGGATCACACGATTGTCTCAAGATAAAACAAAGAAAAAGGCTGGGATGTAGCTCAGTGCAAAGGCCCTGGGTTCAGTCCCTAGTAGAAGAGAGAAAGCCAGAGAGACATAGGGAGAGACAGAGCGTTGCCACCAAACTGACCACAACTGAGGGCGGATGCCAAGAAGGCCACCCTTTCCACTGCTGCCTTGTCCAGAAATTCTCCAGAATATGATGACACAAGCTGTATGTGTAACAGAGTTGTCTGACATTTGAAAGGAAATGGAAAATGTAGAGAAACTGAAGTGTGGGGAGGAGAGAACCATGACACTTGGATGCTAAATGAATTATGCCCAGACTCCCAGGCAAAAGGAAAATGCTGTCCTCACAGACACATTGCCACTGTCCTTTTTTTTTTTTTATCGGTATCGGGGATTGAACTCACGACCTCCTGCTTGCAAGGCAGGTGCTTATGCCGCTGAGCTAAATCCCCAGCCCTACCACTGTCCTTTTTGCCATTTCCCTTTCCTGCTCAGGTTTTGGCCTGAGTCCCTGAGGACGCCACCTTCCATGCTTCAGAGCAGGGAACACTGCTTTGCAAGACACAGCACAGCCCAATGCCCATGGTCATTCGGGCTCAGTATTGGCGCAGCTCAATGCTGCTGGCACCTTCCCAGAGGAACAGAGACCCTTCACCCGGGCAGTGCAACAGCCCGAGACTTCCCTCCTGCATGGGTGGTGTGTCTGAACTGTGTGCCCCTTCCCTGCGGTCTACCCACCTGCTTCTACCTGCAACATGGGGTGCAGGAAACAGGGCTGCTCCGGTGCCTCTCCCAGCCAGTCATCGGCCCACCCCCGCCCCATCCCACTGCAGCTCCACAAGCTCCCCTCGGAAGCCATGACCTTGGGGGACTGCTTGTCATTGGGCCAAATCAAGTATCAGGAGGCAGCTATCTTTCCCTTTGCTCTTGGTAATAGTAAGAGATCATTGTAGAGATTTATTCTCTTCTTGTCAAGAGCGAGCTCCTAGCTGTCTAGGAGTTTTCATTTTCCGGTTCTGACAACCTGGCTGCCTCTTGCAAAGCTTGGTACTGCGTGGGTGGAGAGGTAAGGGCTCACTGTCTCCCCGTGTCATTTCAAGATGAAGCCTGCACATCCTCTAGAAGGAGCCCGTTGATGCTTACCAACCCAAACAGACATTTGAAACCACAAAAGCAGCACCCCACATGCCATCCCTATTTGTTCCTGTGTGAAATCCTCAAGATAAACAAGCTGCTTGAAATGCATCTCCCCTCACCCTCACTGTGTGCTTGGTGGTGGTTACCCATGTAATAGGCTGCTGTCTCCACAGTGTCTGGGCACCAGTGCTCATCCCTGTAAATGTCACTGTTCGCCTTGGGGTCAGAGCTGCCACCCAGAAAGGGTGATCTCAGCCTGACTGCCACTTGGTTAAGTGGCTGAAGGAGGAGACTCCAGCTACCTGCTGTCAAATAGGCATGCTGTGTGGGGGCAACGGTCTCATTCCTTAGCCCATGCTGTTCACATCTTCCTCCAGCCAGTGTTCGAGTTGGCAGATGGAAGAAATTCTTCATGGCTCTATTTCTGTTTTTCGACATTCACAGAAACACTGTGCAACCACTTCTTTAAAATGATCAGTTAAGAACTAGGTTATTTCATTGCCACCATCATAAATAGAGAACTGCTAGATCACATCGTTCATATCTACAGTGCTTGACAGTAATTCTTCCACACCAGGAAGAGGTTATTGATGCTTGGAAGCTTGTCTTTTCTTGCCTGTTCTCCCCCCCTCATTCCCTTCCCTGTGTCCCCATCAATCTCCAGGGAAAATTCTTGTTGAGGGCCTGGGAAGATGCGGCTCAGGAATACTTGCCTGGCATGAGCGAGGCTTCGGATTCCATCACCAGCATCATGCATGCGTGCACACAAGCACATGTACATACAGGGTCATTGATTACAG